GAAATTTTAAGCATATATATCATTTGAGGTCCTACATGTCCCTACCTCACAACAGTGAACACATGAGGATTAGAATAAAATCTTGCATCATCTAATGTAAAAATACTCTCCTGAGTTAGGACTGTGCACCTACAGTCTTAACGTAGATGCTCTTGTTGCCTTGGATCATGCAAAGCCTTTGAAAACCACAGAAAAATAATTAGTCTAGAAACTAGAATAAAGGATCAATAATATACATAACAAAAAGTTTAAAATATGCCCTCCTCCCTTTACTGTGAACAATACATAAAGAGAATATAGGAGCTGTGCATTAAACTAAATTAGAAAATCTTCATTCTAGTTTTGGCTGTTTCATAAAATGTCTGTGTACCTGATGGTACATTACTTAACTTGTACCGAGCCTCAGGTATTTTTCTGTAAAATGGAGACATGGCGAAGGGATTTGAAGTAGGTGGTCTCCAAAGCTCTCATGAGTCTAAAACTTTATAATTTGATGAAACTTCTATTTGTTTCAATTTCCCAATTTAAAATAGTGCTAACAACATGTGTCACCATGTAAGTGTCACAAGACAAGAATTACAAGAAAGAAGGTCTCATCAGTACCAGCAGAAGTCCCCTAAAAACATATTTAAAGGTACATTTTCTACAACAAATGCATGACATCAAAATTTTTCTCTTATTCTCTCTAACCTTCTTCTCCCTACCACCAAGATATGCAATGTTCCCGTTTTCTCATCTAAGCAGCCTTCTTCTTGTTCCTGAAACTTCTCCTTTCCCTTTCCTCACTCTCAGCTCCTCCATTAAACCACTCTACCACTTGGCCAGGAAGGTCTGTTAAACTAATTAGAATAATAATAGAACAGACCTCAAGGGCTAAAAACACTTCACTAATGTATTACCTCTCCAACCAACATCTAGGTTAAAGTTTTTAATACGCCTCAAGGTGCAAAGGAATAATGCACTGCTGTCGCGATTGTAAGCACTGTTCTGGGGTGATCCTGAATCCCACCAAGTAAAGTAGTAATTGTCTCTTCCTCCTCTAAGGCGACCCTGGATGCAAACTAATAGACAGTCACTTTGGCTTGCAATGTATGACACTGCAATGTCATTCTTCAGCATTCTTCAGGCTTATAGGACTGCTGTGATTAATCTGGACATTTCTTCAACTCTAAAAGTGTTTTGTTTTTTCTTTTTTTTCCTAAATAATACTTATTCTGTCTGATTAGGGACATAGGGACATTGCATAAAGCACTCCAATTGGAACACTCAGTGCATATTTAAGCCTTTCTATGTGGTTCCTTGGCCAAAGGGTCAAGAAAAAGAATACGTTGGATTGAGGGAAAACAAACAAATAAAAAACCCATGTACTACTTTGTGCAGCACTACTAAGTTAAAGAAAAAGAGAAGGAAAATGTCAATAATGTGTGTATCATATCAGACATTTTAGAACTCAGTATCACAATAGAATGATTATCACATTGTACTGTTTTATCATAATTGGCCCTAAAAAATATTAATTTTTTTCTCCTCAATGTCTTCTGATCTGAGTTTTTTCTTCTCTCCTGAATAGAAATTTCTGCTCTACTAACATAATATTTTGCATTTTTTATCTTAAATATTCGGCAGTTGAAATTGCATTCCTGTAATTATAATTATAACTAATAGTCCTTCCATTTCCCATGTCATAATTAATGTCAAGTTCTATTAGAGCACAATCATGCTGCCTTTTCACTTATGATGCCTCTTTTATTTTCACAACATTTATGGTATACTGAATTAAGCAATAAAGAGTTCTAAAGGCCTTCTAAAGGATAGCCTTTGGATCATAGATGCTTAGTAAACTGAAACTGACTTGTAAAATATTTTCACATTACTTTTAAACCAAATAGAAAATAGCCTCTTTGTGCTATTTGTTCAACCTCAATAGGTGAAAAAAGAAATCAATGATTCAGTGATAAATATGTTAGATTTACTAAGAGGTTATTTAATGTGCTCTCAGCGAGGATGCGAGAACAGAAAACAACAAAACAAAATATCTAGAAATCATACATGTCGACTGCAATGTATGACATATACAGATGTGTCGGCTTAATTGCAGCAATTTTGAGGGCAGTAAAATACACTTTGATACCCATAGATTAATTTTTCATAGGCCGTTGTTATACTGTTACTACACTGCTTTTAAACTGCTTCCAGAAGACACAACTTTACTATTGAACTATTTAAGAAAAACAGAACCATATATTATTGGCAGTATTGAAATTAGAATTCAAAGGTAGTGCACAACTTGAACAATTTGAAATGCAATTTAGAGGAAGACAAATAATATAAAATTAACAGCTTCATAAATATTAAAAAAAGGAGGCCTGCTGGCACAGTGGTTAAACTCTCAGCTGCTAAATGAAGGGTCAGCAGTTCGAACCCACCAACTGCTCCTTGGGAGCAAGATGTGGCAGTCTGCTTCCACAAAGATTACAGCCTTGGAAACCCTATGGGGCAGTTCTACTCTGCCCTATAGGGTTGCTATGAGTCAAAACATACTCAGTGGCAATGGATTTTGTTTTTTGTTTTTAAATATTTGAAAGCATGTTACAAGACCTTTGCCAGATACACGGCAAAATAGATGCCCTACACGCATTTAAAATAAAATATGGGACTGTATTTTCGAAGGTTATAAGTGACCAAATCTGCTTCAGAGGGCCAGAAAGTGACTGAATCTGTGTCCATATTTATGTGAGGCCCACAAATAATGTAATTAAACCTTACAGCACTGGCTCCTGTTTTTTGCCCTCATTAGAATCTTTTAATATCTTTCCCATGTGGTTTACATGTCCTCAAGAAAAGTTACGCATCCTCAATATCATGTTACATATAACTTTATATGTAACATAAATGTAAGGAGAAAATATATATGGAGCAAACCACAGATTCAAGAAAACAATTTCAATGTTACTCTTTGGGAGATTTGCATATAAAAACATGTCTAGAACCCATGAAGAAACTTTTAAACAGTTATGCAAGTCTTTTTTAATCAGTTATTTATGCTGTTTTATATGATTTCTGCGTAAACCTTCTTGAGATTATGAGGAATCAAAAAAACTGTGGAGCAGCATTAAAACGTGGTTTGAGGAATGAGGATAATATCAGTTAATAGGATTTGTAACTTACAGAGAGACATTCATCCCATTTGTAATAAGGCCAATTGTATTGTTGGATTTTTAATTATGGATATATACTGTAATACTTATAAAGTGTTCTAAACTGATACCAGTGTGGGACGTTTCAGGTCAGTTCCCAAATTTAAAGGGCCTGGAGCAAAAATTCAAATAAAGGCTCTCTTACCATATGATTGAATTTTTAAAATTATAAATCAGCTAAATAAACTGTTAAATAAAATATGTTCTCTCCTCCATCCTTAAAAATACACCATCAAAACAACCTAGAAAGCCAAGTCAAATTTAGAATTTTGAGAGTTTACTAAGATTAGAGCTGGAATAGGATGGTATAGAGAGAGCCAGCCCCCATTCCTCAGCCCCCAGCTCACCCCTCTTCTTACCCCTTAACCCAACATTGTACTTTACTGGACTCATACACAAGCATGCAGGCGGGCACCTCTGAACATTCCAACTCTGTCCTCACCACTTTCCCCGACAAATAACTGTCCCTCGGCCACCCTCTTGGATCCAGGGGTCAACACACCAGCAGCACACTCTGCTCTCAGGAAAATGGACCTGGGATGGACTTGCTCAGGCCTTGGAAGTGGACTCAGGTCCAGTGGACGGAGAATCTTCAGGTCCTGGGTAGCTGCAGTGCTTTCCAGAAGTGGAGGCATAGACTCTGAGTAGGCAATTTCCCTTAGCTCTTAGGATTTCTTGCCCAATGAGAGGTATGTGACCAAAAGGTGTTCACCAGAGGGATTCTTTCTAAATTTCAGGGCTCAAGAGAAGGACCCTCCTCTTGCTAAGCTTCAAGGGCAGTTCATAATAAAGCAAGTAATTTTATGCAAGTTGGAAACTCAAGAACTAGAGACAGCTTTCTTTCCTCAAGTGACAGAAACACTCAACAGAGTCACTAACGGGGAAGCAATAGTCCTTCATAAAGAACATCTATAACTTTGCATCCTGACAAAAGAAAATTACTTCCTCTCAAATATTTCCAAGACCACAACCATAAATTCACTGCATAACTATAGTAATGTTAATAATAATGCTATTTGAAGGGTATGTGGTGCCTTCTTACAAACATTAGTTTTTATTTCACACTTCTTTCAAAAATATTTGAGATGTGTAAAAGCAGATATCCTGATTTCTCAGTTTATAACAGGAGAAACTCAGCATAGATGGGCTAAGTAGTTCTTCTGAGATCTCAAGATCTCAAGTCAAATATTGGCAAAGTTGGTAACAACTGGAATAGAATCCAAGCCCTCCTGACTTTCAGTGAACCCCCTCCCATGTTGAGATACCATTTTGTGGAATCTTTCTGGCTCAGTGAAACTAAAGCTAAGCTCTACAAGCAAACCATAAATCTGTATTTTTCTATTCCTCTCCTAATACTTAAGCATCTCTACTTCTAGGTCTTTAGAATCCTTGCCATCAACAAAAAACAAAGTTATAAGTAATAATTTACCCAGTATAGATGAATACTATTTTCTGTAAACATAGTTATTAAACAGTAGTACAGGAGCAAACTAGAAATAACCACAGAATCAAGAAAGACTTAAAATGTTACTCTCTTGGGCTGAGAGGGTGCATAATTTTGCAAACTGTACTTTTATTTGGACTGATTTTATTTCTAGATGTTATTTAAACTATCAGCTCATGTCAAAGTGGTTTGATAGTCCAACACTTCACGTGTAGTGAAAAATTCAAATAAAAGATAAAATCATAAAGATCCCACAAAAGATGGTCGGGAACCACCCAGGCTGACGCCACCACTAACGAAAGTAATTAAGGGAGGTGAAAAGAGGATTTAAATGTCATTCCATCAAAGCATGGACCTACCTGAATCATATGCAAAATCTCTGGGTTCCTGTTTAATCATCAGAGGAGGGGGGAAACTTTGGCTGGCCGCACTGCCAACCATGGTGTTGTGTTCATACACTGGGTCATGGTACTCCTGCTTAAAGCCTTGAGGTGGGAAGGGGATGTTTGGCTCAGACATCTGGCGTTGGTACATAGGACGTCCTTCCCTTGGCATTGTCGGCAAAGGAGGAAAGGAATTACAGGGTTCAGAAAGCTGACGGCGAAATCTGGAAAATAAGACAGCGTGTTTCAGATAAAACGGTAATAAGGACCATTCTTTAAAATACTGGTATGATTTTTAACTGCTTAATTAATGAACAGGACACCAGCTGACCCAAAGTGTAAATCTTTAACGAAGACTAGATTTCTTTTCCTAGTTCAGTAGCACTACGCTTTTTAATCATAACATGACTTGTGTTTCACTTCTAATCAGTCCCTTGCAGCACCTCTTCAGTACATTACAGTAAGTTAAAGGTATAGTTTGAGTAGAGATAGGATGCACTCTTTTGAGGAAGTACATATCCTAACAGCTAAAATGCCAAATTCTAAATAAATTGGATTATTTATATAACATCCACATTAAAAGGGTCTTAAATAATTTTATATAATAAAAACCAGGGAAAAAAGAAAGGAACTGGTCTCAGATTTTATCTTCTATCTTTTAATTCTCTTACCAAACTAAGCAACAAATAAATAAAAAAAACAACCAAACAAAAACCTACCTATTGGTAACTTTCGGTTACCATCAGTTACTGAGTGATCGTGAGAGGGATCCTTGACTCTCTTCTGAAATGGACAGGACTCTAATTCCTCAATAATGTCTTAATTAACATTACCCTCTAGTGAGGAATAAACTGGATATTACAGTGGCTGAAATAAAGGGTGGCTTTAAAAAGACCACTTCTTTACTGTCAAACAGCAATGAAACATGTTGGCTTCGAATAGCATCAAACAAAATAGCAGGTTGATAAAAATAAGCATATAATATACAACAGACTTTGTATTTTCATACAAAGATGAAAATAACATTTTCACATTGCATAGATTTGGGGCAAGTCATGTTGTTAGGTCATGAAGACGTTCTGAGGCCTTGGTGGAAGCCTGAGAGTGAGTCTGCTTGCTTCGTTCTCGGTTTTACTGTTTAATGATTGGCTAATCACATAATCGTTCTGTTCTGTGTTTCTCATCCATAATATCATTGACCCACCACAAAAGATGTGGATTAATAAAAGATTTGAAAGTGCTCTAACAATGCCCCAGGAGTGCTTAAAAATAACCTATCCAATATTTCTATGAGCAAACATAGGCCTTTGAACCACCATCTCCCGCCCACTAAAATCATTGCTTAGACTTTAGCTTGGAAAGTTAGCATTTAATTTTTGTAATGTTAAATGAAAATAAGGTAACAGCTAAAGAATGGCAAAGCAATTGTTTCAGGATTTCTACGAATGCCCCATTCTGTGGTTTAACTCTAGGCTCACCGGCTGCCATGTAAAGCACTGACATTCCACCTACACCTGCAGAAAATACACTTAGAAACTTGGATATTGCAAAACAGTTAGGCTGACTGGCACTGCATTCATTTCCCTTCTCTTGCTTATTTCATTAGCCAAAAAAAGAAACAGAAATTATCATTAAGAACTGTCAAGGAGTGAATCAGAAAATTGTAACTTGAAGTTAAAATAAGAAACCAGCTCACTTGTGCAGCCTTAAAAGGAAGTTAATAATACTTGTACTGAAAGCTTTGTAAGAAATCAAACCATTTGTTTTTACGGCTCGATCTGATTCCAGTTGGTACCTGCTGGGGACCATTTCTCGACCTGATTCCAGTTGGTACTTACTGGGGACCATGTATATACCGAACACACATACTTCATAGGAAGCTGTATGTTTTTGATGCAACTCTCATGAACCCCTGACCTAGGGTGAAGAGAAAGTGATTCACAAAGCTTCTGCAAGAGAGATAATGGTATTGAGAGTCGATGAGAGTTTAAGGGTGTAAGTGGTGGGAAACAGGGAGAAAAGAGACAGGGTTCCTGCACAGTAGGTTCAGGAAAAAGTGCCAAAGGGCTGACCCAAGGAGCAGAGTGAGCCTGAGGAAAGGAAGCAGGGTGCAGGCCAGCTGGCCACAAAGCATTCCCAGATGAAGTGGGGTGCCTGAGTTGGAGGTGGCTATCTGGGAGAGGATTTGTTCCCAGAGCAAATCTGCCATTTATAACTGAGGTACTGTCATTTGTTGGCCAGGGCCCTCCAAGCATCCTCCTCAGAAACATAAGGCTTCAGAGATTTTCCTAGGATTGGCCAGCTGGTACTGTCCTCAAAACTCAGTTGGGGGCAGTGGGAAAAGACCCTGAGCTTCCCTCTTATAGTTCCGGGCCGGCTGTTCTCAGTCTCAAATATTCGACTTCAAGTAGAGAAATTAAAATGGATTTGGCTAAAGCATCTCAAGTTAGGTCACCTAAAAACAGGCACACTGCTTGTTCAGCAGGCACCCTCTGTAAGAAATAACCCTTCTACACAGAGAGCAAACTACACAGTCTACAGTTCTGGCACTCCTTTGAGGTGTGAGAGACTCGATTATCAAGAACTCTGGGAAGTCGCCAGAGTGGGCAAAACAAAATTTGCTTTTTTGTTCATACACTTTTTTTCCCTTTTAGTCCTGCACAATGTGCTTCTGTTTAAAAGGCCCACCCTGCAGTAAGAATTCTTTCATCTGTGTTTACAAAACTGTTTACACAGATGCGCATACCATTATGCTCTGACAAGGTCTCAACTCTACAGGGTGAGAAGGGAAAGAGAATGGTAAGCATTTAATAACTAAAGCACAAGAGGAGTTAGTGATGGAAACAAAGATAGAAAAGATATGACTTAGTTTCATTTTGGAAAGAATGCTTTTATCTTATGCCTTCATACCAAAAAAAAATTACTGACTTTGAGAGTAAGTCCCTTCAAACAATCTATAAAAAGCAGATTTGAGTGTTCCCTAATTTTCAGAAAGATGCCAGCAGCATATCTTCTGCTTTCCTGTGCTGACCTAAAGGATTCCTTTGGCTAAGTTATTTTTAAAATGGTGTATCAGTCAGAGCCTGTTTGCACTGGCTTATGAGAGTAGATTGATAAATTTTCAGGAATTTTGTCAGCTGTTAACACAGCCCTTATTAAAAATTAAATTACATAAATTTACAGTTAAATAAATCATATTAAAAAACAAAGGCAATAAAAACTCAAAATTTATCACTTTCTAGTTATTTTACTACATTTCACTACTAACTATGCTCTTGAAGTTATTTACATCCATTATACTTATATAGTGGAAGTACTACAATAGTGGCGTGCTAGTGCACATTTCTTTCCAACACTACATTCAATGACATCACACTGATGGCTTGTACTTGACCATGGGGGCAGCTTTTACATCACAGACTTGGCAAATACTACAAATCAGAGAGCCTGTTGATAAATAATTACTAGCACGATACTGCTTATATGTAAGTACAAGGTAGAAGAGGGAAGGAGGGATGCTGTACATGATCAACCTGTGCATTAAGAAGTATATTAAGGTCATGACTAAGGATTTGTAAAGGTCCTTTAATATTTTATTTAAATATAAATTTATTTGTCTCTAGGAATCAAGAATTACCAGTCTCAGCAGCCTCCCTAAGTCCCCACTCTAGTTCTTGTCTTGATCCTTTAAGTGACACTAAGTGAGACTCTTAACACTTAACTTCATATTCTCAGTGTCCAGTTCATGCATCTCTGGGCATTTAATATTCATCACTTGCAAAAGATGGTAAATATTTTAATCAAATAAGTTCTATTCTGCAAAATTATATATAGCTAAGCCATTCAATCTCAAGTAAAGAACCTAATTCCATAAGCCACCTACTAAAATTAGTCTCCTAACTTTATAGAACAAGTACACACATATGCTCATAAAAATGGTATGATCTGATTTAAAGTTTAAGTGAAGCAATTTAATTCAAGCAAAGCAAAAGGGAAATGTTGAAATGTCAGTATATAGATTAATTTTCCATTTTAGCAACCTATTTAAATGTTTATAAAAGGAATGTTTATAAATGACCTTCTCCACAAATTATTTATAACTACAGATACAGCAAGCTCTTTGTAAATATATTTTGCAAAGATGTGCAACATTGGTAGAGTCACCTTAAATTTACTATGAGGTCTTCAGAAGTGGTAATAGGAATTTCTCCCAAGAGTGCTAAAAGCAATTTTAAAAAATGGCATCTGCAGTTTACCTGTGGTCCATGGGGTAGCTGCTATCTTGTATGGATTGCGATGGAGGGAGGTGAGCTGGGAAGGCCCGGTCAGGTTTAGGAGTGTGAGTTGAGTTTGGAGATGCATGATGCCGTGGGGACACTGGCGTGCTGGATGGTGTTGGGGGATTGGAGGGCCTCATTCCCACTTGTGGCTTCTGATCATAGGCACTGCCCAAGGAACAAGAGAAAACAGAACGTTTATTTCTCTGGAATGATTTAAAAAAATTAAAAAATGTTTCCAGTTCAACAAGAAAAAAAATATTTTAAGCTTGTCATAAGGAAATTTGAATATACGTTTTTCTTTTTAATTCCAGAACATGTAAACTTCAAAATCACCACATCCTTAAACAAAAGATAGCATAATTCATTCATAACCTGGTAACAACATGAATAAAGCCCTAGTTTTTTTTTTTTTTTTTTAATATGTGTACAAACAACTTGGCATAGGGAAAACCACTGTCAATGAAAGTAGTGGTATTACTTCCACCTATTCTTGATATACCTCCTTGACAAGTTTGACAGATCTTTCCTAAATCTTTTAAATATTTCTGGTATTATAATTCTTCTTCTATATGATATAATGTTTTAGAATAAGAACTAACATCCGTTTAACAAAATGTAGCCCATACCTGGCTTGCCTTTATTTGTGGTAGAACTTTAAGAAGCAATGGTTTTGACTCATTTTCATTTTATTTATCTGTTAAATAAAGGATGCTTAGCATTAACTTCCTCACATGAAATAATGAAGATTAATGAGGCAAATTAAAACATATTTGATAAATTTGAACCTTTTCAGAATAAAATAATGGTAACAAAAAATGTTAAGAATAAGATCTTTTTACATCTAGCTCCTAAACATTCATCATTACAAAAGAATAAAACAAGTAAGCTTGTTTTTAATATTTATTATTAATTTAAATAACTTTCCTATGTGTAGCTTTTGAGAATGATTTAACTAATTTTTATAAATTTACTAAATTTCTAAACAAAAAGAAAATTTCTAGGTTAAAATACTGTATTTTCTTTTAAAATAAAAGGCATTCATCAATATACATATTTTCCTTCGAAAAAGGAACATTTATGTTTTAATTGGCTTATAAAATAATTCATTCTCTTGCATCACCTACACAATAGAATTATAATCAAAAGTGCAAAAACACTTCATAGAAATGAAGGAGTATGTGCTGCTTAAGTCTACTATAACTTTAAAACAAAGTCAACGTGTTCGGTTCTACCTAAGTTCTTACCATTATTGCCAAATAAAACCTACTTCTTTAAAAATGTTTCACCTGTTTCATTCCCAGTGAAAAAATAAGAAAACAAGATATATTTTCTGCCCTAGCATACTAATTTTTTTCCCCACGAATGGTTGTATTAAATTCTATTGTTTGCCTAGTGATAATAGTATCAGAATTTATTTACATACATCATATATCACTGTGGGAATTATGGTTCCTAAGAAGAGACTCAAAACATCCAAGCAATTGTTCTACTGCTAATAATTTATGGATGCCAAATACAAATATAAAACAGTGATCTCACAGTCACACTTACGATCAATGCTGAAATGCAAGGACAATTCCGTATCTAACCGGTTCATTGATTAAAAATTCTTCAATAATAATGCCATGTATATATAGTATTCTTAAGAAGAACATGCAAAAATAAAACTAAACTATAAAATAACTCAAATTGACCAATATTATCTCAGTATGCTTTGATAGTTAGCTTCTGGAAAAGATCTTTTTTATAAAAGCTTTGCAATTTCAACAGAGCTGGCTCATAATTTCCGGCTCTAGTGAAGCTTCTAGAAAAACAGATATAAAAGACAAGTTTGCGAGAACAAACAGTGACCGAATATCCGAGTATTGGTCAGCTGCTATGAGACTGAAGAAGCCTAGACTTCTTAAATCCTATATATCTTGGATATAAAGAGTGTAAGTAGTAAACTTACAAGGAGTGGAAGACCCCTTTGCATAATAATGTATTCTGAACATGAACTGGTATGTCTTATAAAGCAGTGCAAATATTTGTAATAATTTATAAGTTTCCAAACTGCCTCCAAAAGGAACTAAACTAAGTTTCTACTGTGATTGAGAGTAATAATATTCAATACACAGTGCCAAGTTTTTCTTTATGCAATTAGAGGCCAAAATGAAAAGTAACAGAATGCAATTTACTGTGAAGGGTTTTTAATGAACATATAGGTTATCAAATTTTCTAACAAATGTACTTTTACTGCTCCACCCTATATTATCATCAGAGGGAACAACTGGCTTTTTAATAGATAATAGCCTCTGCTAAGCTTTATGAAATTCTAGTTTTATTGCAATTGTCCATGAATGCATCTTATAGATCATCTGCAAAGCCTGTCAGATAACTAATGTACTGCTCAGACCTGCCAAATGTTTCATTTTTCTACAAACTCTCTGTCTAAAGTGCATAATGCATTCATTCTAATGAGAACTTCTGAAAGCTGCTAATGCCAAGTAAGACCCTCTTTTCAAACCCAAGATGCATCACTACAGTAGAAAAATGACTAACGATTTGGATAAAAATTATTGCCTTAAAATGACTCTAAAAGTGTGTGATCAAATGGTAAACGGTTCTTCAGAGTTCTGCTAAATGCATTACCTAATTAGCCTGTTAAATGCTGAAGTTGTAACTCATAAAGTATGACTTGAGATTTTATATTATCTTGAATTTTTTGTTTCAATAAAAACCCCCATCTTATATGCATACACGTGGTTGCTTTACCTGACATTGTACAGGCACTTTTCTCCATAGCTGAATTTAAAGGGCTGTTCTTGACTGCACGCAGAGCCAAGTTCTGAACATGGACTGTGGGGCTCTTTCTTGATTTTCAGTGGTAGGCCATGAAAAGCCACTAGAAAACAAAACAAAATAACCACATAAGTTATATGCAGTTAGAAATTAAGTATATTAATCTGTTCTACAGCTCATTTAAAAGGTCACTAGCATATTTAATATTAACTTGCACAGATAAGAATAACCACATTTATTGAATTTCAATGGAAGAAAATAAACTGGAAAACCTGTGTATACTCTTTTTCTGCTTTTATTGTGTAACAAACTGCATGCTTGAATTCTCTCTCATTACTTCAAGTAAAACCAATAATTTGTGATACGTTTAGCTGATATTAACAATGCTAGACCCTCAATTTTCAGAAAGTAACTTTTGAAAATATTTCAGAAAGATTTCTAATGACTAAAATATAAAAAATATAACTGATTGTCCAAGAATTAGCTGAAGCCTTCAATATAATTTTACCCATTACTGAAAGGAAAATATCACAAAGGCATCAATGGTAATGATTTAATGGAATGACAACTGGAGTTTGAGGCAAACAAAAACAGCCTACAATTCCAGTAGTAACTGATGATACTTTGGTCAAAAACTCAACATCTTTGAGCATAGTGCTCATCTATAGAGGTAAATGTACCTGCCAGTTACCGGAACTGTAAAGATGAAATATGAGAAATACGTGAAATTTATTTATAACATGTTATTTATCATAAAATGATTATTCTATATGAAATGCTCTTGTCTTCTTTCTCATATGATTTAATGTATGATTGTGTTTATATTATTCAATGATTAATATAATACAAAGGTTATACCAGAAGATATGTGAAGACTAGAAGAAATATGTATACCTTCTGGGGAAATCATAGCTTTAAAATTAATAAATAAAATAACATCCAATATGCATTTTATTATTTTATATGAAACAGACAAACAAACAAAAATCCACACACACTTATCAGAGATGTCATTAGAATTCAGGTTTTAGTATAAATAGGTAATTCATAAAACGAAAAAGATAAGGGTAAAATAGGCATCAGAATAGGGTTTTTTTTTTATATACAATATGCCCAAGTCTGATTAATCAAAGAAAAAACATAGGAAAAACACAAGTTCTGGATATTAATTCTAACTCCTATAAACACTGGAATTAAAACACAAAATGTCTGCGTTCTATAAAGGAATAAATGACTAGAGAAACTTAGTGGTTTATGATGTTGTTCACTCTTGATTATAATATTACAGCATTATAATCTTATATTAGCTTATATGTCATATACAATTTTCAATAGAAAAATTTGATACCAAGAGCTATCAAGCTTCAGGAAAATTTATAATATTTATTTGTATAAGCACACAATTTTGATAGAAATGTTCAATGGTACTCAAAAGCTATCTGAAACATTCTAGAAAACAAATTTGACAAAGAAATAAACAAACTTCACTTAAATTAGACACTTTTAAAAAAAACTTAGGCAGCTGGTTGGTGCAAATAGTTAAGCACATGACTACTAGCCAAAAAGTTGGTGGTTTGAACCCACCCAGGAGCACTTTGGAAGACAGGCTGTGCAGTTATATGCAGTTAGAAGGTCACAGCCTAGAAAATCCTACAGAGCACTTTTACTCTACACGTGGGGTCACCATGAGTCAGAATAGACTCCACAGCAGCTAACAACAACAACAACGAAAAGCTTAATAATAATAAAATAATCACACTGGCTGGTCTATTTGAAGTGTTTTCACAATGTAATATGTGTGTATGTGTATGTGCATGCATGCTTACTATGATTATTCAAAACAGGGTGAAAAGGAATAAGAACAAGTGAGGAAGGAAAAAAATATATACATATATATTTCCATATGTCAGGGGTACTCATATGCATTAAATTTACGAAGTCAGAAAGTAGTAACTTATTAACCATTCAGACAGAGATGATTAAGAACCTCAAGAATGTATTATAAACCTTTAGCTAGACTGACAAAGAAAGGAAGAGAAAAGATGGCCAATAACAAAAATAAAAAATGAAAGCGGACACATTGCAACTCACCTAATAGAAATAAGGACAATTAGGACAGAATATTATGAACAACTCCATGGCAACAAACTGGATAACCTAGATGAAATGGACAAATTCTTAGACACACACAACCTACACAAACTGACTCAAGAGGATATAGAAAGACTCAACAGACCCATAAAAAATGAAGAGATAAAATCAGTGATCAAAAACATCCCAACAAAAAAAGTACTGGACCAGATGGCCTCTCTGGGGAATTCTACAAACATTTAGAGAAGCATTGACACTAATACTGTTCAAAATCTTCCAAAAGATAGAGAAGGAAGGAACACTCCCTAATTCATTCTATGAAGCAAATATAACCCTGATACCAAAACCAGACAAAGACACCACAAGAAAAGAAAACTACAGGCCAGTATCTCTGAAGAATATAAATGCAAAAATCCTCAACAAAGTACTAGCAAACAGAATCCAATAGTATATTAAAATAGTCATGCACCATGACCAAGTGAGATTTATTCCAGGAATGCAGGGATGGTTCAATGTTAGAAAATCAATCAATGTAATATATCACATCAATAAAACCGAGGAAAACAACCACATGATCATCTCTATAGATGCAGAAAAAGCATTTGGTAAAATCCAATACCCTTTCTGGCTGAAAACCCTGAAGAAGATTGGAATAGAAGGTAAATTTCTCAATATGATTCAGGGCATATATGAAAAGTCAATAGCCAACATTATCCTTAATAGAGAGACTGACAGCTTTCTCCTTGAAATCAGAATCAAGACAAGGGTGACTTCTCTCATTGTTTCTACTCAATATTGTATTAGAAGTCCTAGCAAGAGCAATAAGACAAGAAAAAGAAATAAAAGGTATCCAGGTTGGAAAAGAATAAGTAAAATTATCTCTATTTGCAGATGCTACTATCCAAAATATAGCAAATTCCAAGCAGTCCACAATAAAACACTACAGCTAATAGAGGACTTTAGCAAAGTTGCAGGGTCCAAAGTCAACAAACAAAAATCAGTTGGGTTTCTATACACCAGCAGTGAGAAATCTGAAAGGAAAATTAGGGAAACAATTCCATTTACAACAGCATCTAAGAGAATAAAACACCTAAATATAAATATAAGGAGGGATGGAAAGGACTTTCACAATGAAAACTATAAAACACTGCTGAAAGAGATTTAAAAAGACTTAAATATATGGAAAGATGCTCAATGTTCATGCACTGGAAGACTTAATATTTTCAAGATGTCAATACTACCCAAAGCAATCTATAGATTCAATGCAATCTCGATCAAAATTCCAACAGCCTTATTCACAGAAATAGGAAAACCAACTCTCAACTTCATATGGAATGGCAAGAAGCCCTGAATAGCTAAAGCAATGCTGAAAGAATAAAATAGGAGGACACACACTTCCTGATTTTAAAACATACATCTATAGTAATCAAAACAACCTGATACTGGTATAACAATAGACATATAGACCAACAGAATAGAATTGAGAGTCCAGAAATAAACCCACACATCTATGGTCAACTGATTTTTGAGAAGGGTGCTAAGTCCATTACATGGGCAAAGAAGAGTCTCTTCAATAAACTGTGATGGGAAAATTGGATATCCACATGCAGAGAGATGATACAGGATCCGTGCCTCACACCATACACAAAAACAAATTCAAAATGGGTTAAAGACCTAAATATGCAAACTAAAACTGTAAAATTTTTACAAGAAAATGCAGGGGTAACAGGTGCCTAGGTTTAAACAATGTATTATCCAATACAATAGCAAAAGTACAAACAGCAAAAGACAAGAAAAAAAATGTACCTCATAAAAATCAAAAAATTTGTTTATCAAAAGGACTTTACAGAAAAGTTAAAAGACAAGGTACTGACTAGGAGAATGTCTTCAGAAACCATATATCCAACAAGAATCTAATAACCAAAATATATACATATAACTTTGACAACTGAACAACAAAAAGACAAATAACACAATCATAAAATGGGCTAAAGACTTGAATAGACTTTCACTAAAGAAGACATTCAAAAGGCCCCCAAACACAATGAAAAAATGCTCAGCATCATTACCCATCAGAGAGATGCAAATCAAAACTGCAATGAGATACCATTTCATTCCCTTTAGAATGGCTAAGATATAATAATAATAATAATAAATGTTGTCGAGAACGTGTGGAAATTGAGGCCCTTACCCATTGCTAGTGAGAATGCAAAATGGTGCAGCCACTGAGAAAACAGTGTGTCGGTTCCTCAAAAAACTAAAAATCGAATTATCCCATGACCCAGCAATTCCACTCCTAGGTATATACCCAAAAGACTTGAAAGCAGAGACTCAAACAGAGACTTGTACACCAACGTTCATTGCAGCACTATTCACAGTAACCAAAAGGTAGAAACAACCTAAATGCTCATCAACAGATGAATGGACAAACAAAATGTAGTACATACATACAATGGAATAAACTTAGCCAGAAGGAGAAATGAAGTCTTGATAATATGCTACAATATAGATGGAGCTGAATGACATTATACTGAATGAAATAAATCAATTACAAAAGAACAAATATTATATGACTTAACTTATATAAAAAGAAGAAACCCTGGTGACATAGTGGTTAAGTGTTATGGCTGCTAACCAAAAGGTTGGCAGTTCAAATCGACCAGGTGCTCCTTGGAAACTCTACGGGGCAGTTTCACTCTGTCTCATAGGGTCACTATGAGTCGGAATCAACGTGGCGGCAACAGGTTTGGTTTCCGGTATATAAAAACAGAAGAGTTAAGTGTCACAACTGTATAGAAAACAAAGTTTATTAGTGGCTACCAGGGGCAGAAGGGAGGAGGAAAGTGTGTGGGGGTGAGTTAACAATGATGGAAATATTGCATTGATTAACAAGGGTAAAGCTGCACAATCAATTACTGTAATTGCTGTCAGTAAGTTCTACATCTGTAAAAAGTTGAACTGGCAAAATTGTGTAGACATATTTACAACAACAACAAAAAAAGAGTAGCAACT